ACACAAAATGAAATTAATGTTCTGATTGTGGTTTATGGTAATCAAATATTTTTTACCTGCAAATATTCAAAAGGTGTTTAAAATTTAATTCTCATTTTAGATATATGGAGTATATATTTATATTTATATTAGATTTATGTTAATATATTTTGTAATGGTATTTGTTTAATATCTGCGGAATATGTAAATAAAAGTTCAGTATTTGTTTTGTAATCCAAACGAAAAAAATACGATTTCTTTGTGTTTTCGAAACTAATTTTGATATTATACATATTATTTGTTCAATAGCAAAAATTCACATTAATAACCATTTTTGATATTTTTTACAGAAATAGGTTAAAATACAAACAAAAACAAAACTTCGCTTATTTTTTTATTACGTGACTAAAATAGTTTTTCGATAATGTTTGAGGGGAAAAAGGAAGGATGTTCTTACTAGGTACTCATTATACACTAATAGTAAACTTTGTGCAATAGGTTGTTGTAATCGCGATCATAAAGTGAGATTATAGGAGATACGTAGAGTATCTCCAGATAAGGGGCTAGAATCTGTGGGGGCTTGTAGCTCATATAATTACGTAAGTCGATGAGAATTTAAGTTAAGTGAATAATATCAGAAAGAAGATTATGACACTTGATACAGTATCTTCGCACTGGAGATAATAAAAAGAGATCCAAACGCTCGGTGTTAGAAGATTTGTAGATAGCAGAGTGGGGAAAGTAACACTAAGTTTTTGTTAACATTCTCTACATATTTCATAGATATTTATTTATTAAACAACTGCCAAATTTTATTTATATATATATTTAAACAGACTAATTGGTCAATGTTGAATAAAACATAATGCTTTAAATAAGTCTTTAAATTTTATTTATATACTTACATAATTTATTTAATATATAATTATTAAATTAATTATTAAATTATATACATAATATTTTAAATAAGTAACTTAAAATTTTATATAATTATATTATTATATACATCAAAATAAATTATATAATATCTAATTATTTTATTAATTATTAAATTATATATATAATTTCTATAATTTTATTTATGTATTTTTGAACAGACTAATTGGTCAGTGTTAAATAATACATAATGGTTTAAATAAGTCTTAAAAAACATATTTTATTTGCAAAACAATATAAATAAAAAATAAATAAATATATAAATGTATGAAAAATTGAATAGAAATATAAAATAAACAAAATATGTATAAAAAATTAAACAGATATATAAAGTAAAATATGTTTAAAGAATTCAAAAGATATATAAATATTTTGCATATATCTAATATGTTGAATAATAATATGTTTAAAAATTTAGGCAGATATATAAAATTAAACATGTTTAAGGAATTTAAAAGTAATATAAAAATTTTGCGTACATTTAATATCATAAATAAGTAACATAAAATAAATTTTTAAATTGTCGTATTTGGCAGTATTATAACACAAGAATTGAACTATTACTCAAATATTGAATATTACGAGTGTAAGTGTAACATAGGCAAAATGCCAATCTGTGGTACAATTCTGAAAAAACATTGTCACAGTGTTGTGCGTCAGGGGCAGAAGAGAGTGTATTGTGTCGTTTTGTTTGCAAATTCCTTACGAAAAAGCCGCTAAAATTCTAAATAAATTGTAAGTTATTTTTAGTTGAAGTTTTCTAAAGTGTGAACAGGTATTTGATTGGTTAATAATTGTAAAAATGAATTGTATTAAAAAAATGAACTTCTTAGTTCTTTGTTTTTCTTTGTTGTTGTTGTTGGTGGTGTGGTAGCGTCAGTCGTCGTTTGTGCGTATGGCGTCGCATCTGTATGACTTTGTAATGCGTTATACATTTGAAATTGCATTTTAAATTTTCGATTTAGCGGCATATATGCAAGTGATAATTTTTTATTACTTTCTTTATTAAATGGTTGAATGATAGTTTGTTTAAATAAATAAAATGCAGGTGACATTTTTTTTGAACGGCTACGGTTAACGTTGGCGTCGTGAAGATTAACAAATAGCAAGCAAGCAGCGGCGACAGCAGAAATTTTTCTTGTTAGTAGTGGCGTTCATTTTGTTTTCTTGTAGAACCACTCATACAAACCCCTTATACCTGGATTCCCTATTCACCCAACAACAGCTCATCAGCCGTTACTGGTGAGTGGTGAGTGTTTGGTTCGTTTGTTACTTTTTTTCTTCTGCATTTTATTTTAATTTATTTTTTTTTTTTTTTTTTCGGTTCTATGTATTTCTCATTTGACCTTTTGTTGTGTTTGAAAATATATTGTGTTGCCGTCGTTCTTCTTCTTGTTGTTGTTATTATTCTACTTCTTACTGTTTATGAAGCTGTAATTGAAGTTGCTAACTAACAATGCAAAGAGATTAATTTGGAGCAACAGCATTAGAGAGTTTATCAGTTTAGTACTTTGCAGTGCAGTTTTATTAAAAGAATTCATTTATTTATTTATTTTTTTAGATTTAGTTAAATTATTTTGTATACAAAATTTTATTTAAACATTTTTGTAACAAATCGCCATCTTCATCCTCATCCTATTAAATACAAATATACGAAACGAAATACAAAAATTGTGTTTTTTGTTTTTGCAGTAAGAAATAAAAATGTCAGCAAAGCGCAAAGCAGGTGGAAACGGCAATGGCCCGAGCAAGCGTCGCCCAAAGAAAAAGGAATCCGATTATGAGGATGATGTTAGCGAGGATTCAGGAGATGAAGCAAAAGCGTCTACCAATCAAGTAGAAGTTCTCATCCAACATGACGAATTGGATCCACCCAGTAAACTGCCAGAAGATTTATTAGCCACAATGGATAAGGCACCAGGTCAATTGCTCATTGCAGGAATGGTCACATGGGATCTGACCGGTAAACGTGATCGAAAAAATGTTGTTAAAGTTCGTCCAAATCTGTTCAATTTTCATCGCTTTACGGACGAAATGGTAATTATTATAAAAAAAAATTTGATTTTGTTTTTGTTGCATTCACATAATTTTATAAAAAAAAGTGTTTATAAAAAGTATGTATATCGTTTAACGGTCTAGACAGTTAATCTATTTTGAATTTAGATGTCTCTAAAACATCTTTCAGAAACTTACAGTGGAAGAGTTATTAAGCGGACACTGATGGAATCTGCAATTCTGTCTGCTTAAGAGAAGTGTCCGTTAAAGAGAAAGTATTTACCATGAAAAGTAATAATTAAAGATTGGCAATGTTGTACAGTTAAGTGGGGTCTTGGGCTACACCGATAATCTATTTTGAATTTAGATGTCTCTAAAACATCTTTCAGAAACTTATAGTGGAAGATTTATTAAGCGGACACTAATTCAATCTGCAATTCTGTCTGCTTAAGAGAAGTGTCCGTTAAAGAGAAAGTAGTTACCATGAAAAGTAATAACTAAAGATTGGCAATGTTGTACAGTTAAGTGGCGTCTTGGGCTACACCGATAATCTATTTCGAATTTAGATGTCTCTAAAACATCTTTCAGAAACTTACAGTGGAAGATTTATTAAGCGGACACTTTAATTCAATCTGCAATTCTGTCTGCTTAAGAGAAGTGTCCGTTAAAGAGAAAGTAGTTACCATGAAAAGTAATAACTAAAGATTGGCAACGTTGTACAGTTAAGTGGGGTTTTTGATTAGTAGGCCAACCATTTATTTAACAGTCCAATGTATTCAAAGTTACTAAAAATTAAATTGTATTAATTAATTTTTTTGAATTAAATTATATGTTGTTTATAAACAATAATTATTAATTAATTATTTTATTTAAAAAAGTGAATATACTAAAGGGAACGACGTTCACACTTGTGCGGTCCCTTTACTAATGTTAAACGGCACTTAGTCGTCTTTGACGAGTGGTTCTGAGACGTAGACCCGGCCACTCTTGGAACTGAGGTAGCTAGGTTTCTATGACTGGACCCCGGTTAATTTCAATTATATCCATTATTCCCTTTCTATTATCCCCTTAACTCTAATTAACTCTAATCACTCCCTTACTCATGTATTCGTCTTGCAATCCTTGTATGTTATTTGCTTTCAGATCCCGGCAGGCTACAACAACAACTCACACTCTAAAACGTTTTTGTTTGCTTATTGCGAATTCTTTTTTTTTTTTTTTGCTGATTTTATTTGTTTGTTGTAGGATTAATTACATTAGATTAGATTATTTACAATAAAAAAATTTCTTTTGTCTTAGGATCTATTTATACCTAGCGTACAAATTACTTATCTAGATGTTAATTTTATTATTTACATTACATTTTTTATAGACTAACTAAAGCCTATTTTACTTTAAGATATATATTATTTTATGATAGATATATATTACTATTTCTCCAAAAAAAAAAGAAGGAATTATGTTATTTTTTACCTATAATTATTTACGGCTACATTAATACTACAAACAATACCTTAACCTAATTTCATTATTTACAATATTTACAACGTTTACTAATTGACAGAGGTCGAGGTCTTATGTCCTAAACGCGTATCAGATTGCCCAGACT